ATCATGGGGCTATATTTACTCTGAGTTTAATTAGAAACTGGACTGGTAACAAATTACTTGAGGTCCAGTTCTCCCAGGTTTTTGGCAATCTAATTGGAACCCACCGGTAGATGATGTCCTCTGAGCCTTGCAAGCTGTGAAACTTGGACTCAAAGTTTCTCTGGCATAGCATTTGGCATATATTAACAAAGTTCTTATTAAACTGTGGTTAAGGAGATAGGTTTCCTCTATTGCCTCTAGAGAATTTGGACACCAACCAAAATGTACCCAGATGTGTCTACGTACACATGGTATGCTTTGGCAACACTTTAATAACTCCCATTGAAACTCCATCACCAACAGCAAAATCAGCCACTTGACTTCTCTGTTGTCCAGTAACATTCTTTCCAATTCATAAATTAAGCATAAGCCTCAGAGGTTTGAACATAAGTCAAGGACACAATGGAAGAACTTTTATAGGTGTGATTCTTTGAATCTGACTTTTTTCTCCAAAAGTGGAGCAAAGACACTGAGATATTTAGCACTGCAAAGGGCTTAACCTTTAGGCAAGATTTTCAAGAATCAATGTCAGTAGTCTTCTGTTATGCACTGTACCTAATAGCATCCAATTTGTAGTTGGAGTTTTGGGATCAAATGAACTAGGTAAAGACAAACTTCTAGGTAGGATTAAGGTTACGCCTAGTGAAATTGAGACGTTGTTATTGATTATGTATGACTAATTTTACTTTGAATATTTTCCAGGTATACCAAGTGCTTCAGACTTAATCATCTCAATGACAGAAACAACAAAGGTGGGTGTTAAATATTGGAAAAATTGATATTGTATTAAGAGAGATGCTGGAAACATGATCCATTTGGTGTGAGAGGAGGCATCATGCGTTCTCTGTGACCCTTTGAATTGCTTATGTGTGAGGCCACCTCAGCCTAAGGTCAATGCAAAAAGGGTTTCCAGACCGCTTTCTGCTAAATGCTTACCTTCAGAAAGACTTTTTCACATGCTTTCCCAATACAAAGTTTCAACCTATAATGACTGAACTTTGGGAAAAAATAAAATATTGTGTCTTCCATCCTGTTTCCATACCTTCCATTTCATACAGTCTTTCTTCACCCAACAAAGGTTCATGCTATATTCCATATGAAAGACAAGATTTACACTAGTGCAGACTTACCTAACAGGTGGTGGTGAGAATTAAATAAATCAAGTTTTTATACCACTTCACATATACAAATGACTCAAATAATGGATTTTGCTACTGCCAGAAATGATCATATCTCCTACCATATGTGCTGTGCCACCCAAATCTCTTACAACACATCTCACTTTTTATCATGTATCATGTTCACTTATTTGCATAAATTTTCCATTTCTGTTGGTCTGTAAACACTTTAGAAATGTGGCCCAACTTATTTGTATAATTTGAAGAGTATAATAAATGTCCACAGGCTATGTATAAGGTGGCACGAATAATAACAATTACAAAATTTATTTCAAATGACCAATGACAGCTTATAAACGTAGGCATTATTTTAAAGATGATAATGTCTCTCATTGCTGTGTGATCCCTCCACCCTCTAAGCTTTGATCCAAAGAGGGATAGAGCAGAAGAAAACGTGATGGTATAGTATCAGCTGCCTCCCAGAAGGGGGTCACTGTCTTTTTCTCACCCCAACAGTCAAGCAAGATCTATAACCTTTTATCACCACTTTCCAGAACATGCACTCTGTGTAATACTAGAAGTGCATGGATCAGAGTTGAGGAGTAAAGAAGTCAAAAGGACCGGGCACGGTGGCTCACGCCTGTAATCCCAGCACTTTGGGAGGCCAAGGTGGGCGGATCACGAGGTCAGGAGATCGAGACCATCCTGGCTAACACAATGAAACCCCATCTCTACTCAAAATACAGAAAATTAACCGGGCGTGGTGGCAGACCCCTGTAATCCCAGCTACTTGGGAGGCTGAGGCAGGAGAATGATATGAACCCGGCAGGTGGATCGCACCACTGCACTCCAGTCTGGGTGACACAGCCAGACTCTGTCTCAAAATAAAAAATAAAAAAAAAAGAAGGAGAAGTCAAAGGACATCATCCCTACCCATCATGGATGAACATTTCAGGCTTTCCTATCTTGATTAGGAGAACAAGAAGCTCAGTAGGCTTAAACCATTCATTCACAAGCCAAACAATACCTAGGTACCATTTAATGTAATAATAAATCTTTGATTAATGAGGTTTCTGTTACTAATAAAAATCTCCTTCCATTCCACACTTCCTCCCTCTGTGCCAACCACACTGCATTTTCCAGTGTTCTCTGTACAAGCATATCATCTTCACCACTGACTGACATTTTACAAGCTGTTTTCTTTGCATGATACATCTTGCTTTTGTTTGCTGGAAATTCATCTAAATTGAAGGAAAACTTCCCCTCCTCTAGGAAGACTTCCCACACTAGTCTCAGCTAGAGCGCTGCCGTGCTTCCACAGCACTATATTGGTACCAGCATCATCTCCCATGTGTGATTATGCACTTACATGTTTATATTTTCCATCAGAGCGAAAATTGCTCCAGAGTAAGAACTTTGCTGTGATCATATGCATACTGCTAGTACTAGCAGAAGCCCAGCCACACTATAAGGATTACAAAGCGTGTGCCAAAGGACTGAAGGATTCATTGGCTAAACGAAAGCCTTCTCACTAGCCTAATAAATGGAGGGTCAGGAATGTAATCAAATCCAACATTAAAGAGTCAGGTTCCATAGGCCGGGCGCGGTGGCTCAAGCCTGTAATCCTAGCACTTTGGGAGGCCGAGACGGGCGGATCACGAGGTCAGGAGATCGAGACCATCCTGGCTAACACGGTGAAACCCCGTCTCTACTAAAAAATACAAAAAACTAGCCGGGCGCAGTGGCGGGCGCCTGTAGTCCCAGCTACTCGGGAGGCTGAGGCAGGAGAATGGCGTAAACCCGGGAGGCGGAGCTTGCAGTGAGCTGAGATCCGCCACTGCACTCCAGCCTGGGCGACAGAGCGAGACTCCGTCTAAAAAAAAAAAAAAAAAAAAAAAAAAGAGTCAGGTTCCATTTCAATGACATCGATTTCTGCAGCACAGTCTTATCGGAGGGGCTGCAGAGGTGTGGAATATTGGGCTGAACCTATGCTGATCCAAACTCACCTGAAAATTTTATAATTTTTTTAAACAGTGCTTCTGAGACTGTTTTTCTGCCACCTTTACCCTAAAGTAAATGGGGAAAAAATAACTGATCAACTGAATGCTTAAACAATGATCATATGTTGCAACACACGTCATGTTGTAAGCTTTGGAGGTAAACAGAATCACATCCGAAGTTCAGTTCCACCACTTACTACTGCTGTGAGTTTGAGAAACTGAGCCCACTTTTCTGAAGATCATTTCTTTATCTGTGGGGAGAAATTTTTTTAAGAAACCTTCTTTATAAAAATACATAAAAGAATAATTCACAAGGCACGTTAGCTCTTGAGGTATGGAGATTGCAGGGACATCAAGGCTCTCCAGCTGATTTTCTCCCAGCCACATGCAGTTGGTGAAAACAGGATCTACTGTTGGTGAAGACAGGAAAGGGGAAGGAAAAACAGGACAGGAGGTTAGACCTTTCGACAAAGCCTGAAATTGAGCATCAACATTCAGACCCCAGGGTCTATACCCTCACTCAGTCTACTTTTCTCTTTTCTGAGACAAGGTCTCACTCTGTCACCCGGGCTGGAGTGCCGGGTGCAATCATGGCTCACTGCAGCCTGGACTTCCGGGGCTCAAGTGATCCTCCCACTTCAGCTTCCTAAGTAGCTGGGACCACAGGTGTGTGCCACCACACATGGCTAATTTTTTATTTTTTGTAGTGATAGGGTCTCCCTGTGTTGCCTCACTCAATCTTGTCTTCTCTCAAGTGAATCTTTCCCTTGACTCAGATTGCTACTCCTCCCTGCTGACTCCAACTGATATTACACACGCAGAATCCATGACACAAGGCAGAGTGGAGAAGTCAGAGCCCGAGTCATTCAGCTAGTTGATGGCAGAATAAGGACCAAGTGAAACCAGTGCTCCAATCTCCCCAGTCCAGAGCTCTCTTCACTACATCCCACTGCCTCTCTCAGAAGGGAAATTCTTCCTTTGGGGAAAAAAATAAATCACCTTGGCCGGGCGCGGTGGCTCAAGCCTGTAATCCCAGCACTTTGGGAGGCCAAGACGGGCGGATCACGAGGTCAGGAGATCGAGACCATCCTGGCTAATATTGTGAAACCCCGTCTCTACTAAAAAATGCAAAAAACTAGCCAGGCGAGGTGGCGGGCGCCTGTAGTCCCAGCTACTCGGGAGGCTGAGGCAGGAGAATGGCGTAAACCCGGGAGGCGGAGCTTGCAGTGAGCTGAGATCCGGCCACTGCACTCCAGCCTGGGCGACAAAGCGAGACTCCGTCTCAAAAAATAAATAAATAAATAAAAAATAAATCACCTTTCAGACTTTCAAAACTTCTGTTGGTTCCTATCAAAATGTATTCCTGTACAGGGCAAAAAAATAACTGATAATAATAATAGTGACCATAAACCAGGAGCAGCCACAACATAAAAAAAAAACAAAAAACTAGTACTTTCACTTCTGTCTTTTGAGAAAGCCAGAACTTTTGACCTCCAAAGCAATGTAAGTGACAAGAAGAGATGAAAAGATTTCCTTAAAGCAGAATAAAGAGAGGAAAGATTTATTACATTGGGAGTTTTGTACCAAAAACATCAAATTAAACTTGGGTAATTGATATTTTAAAATACACTATGTCACTACTTAACATATTTTCTTTCCCAAAATAGTTCTATAGGAGAAGAATTATTGAATGACTTTGCATATGATAACTTGATTTTATCACCAAACTAACTGTAATCTGAAAAACGTGAACAATGCAACAAATTGCAAAAACTACAACCACATGGGAAGTTTCTGCACTAAATTCTAGGTGTTTAGGAAGAAAACAAAATAAATATCCCAGTGCTTTCATATGACATGGTTTAAACCCAAAGAGAATAAAGAGGATGATTCAATGGAGATGAAAAACTGCACCAGGGTAAAAGAATTTATTTTCCTTGGCCTGACCCAGAATTGGGAAGCGAGCTGGGTCGTATTTCTTTTTCTACTCTTGGTGTATGTGACGACTCTGCTGGGAAACCTCCTCATCGTGGTTACTGTCACCTGTGAATCTCGCCTTCACACGCCCATGTATTTTTTGCTCCGTAATTTATCTATTGCCGACATCTGCTTCTCCTCCATCACAGCGCCCAAGGTTCTGGTGGACCTTCTGTCTGAGAGAAAGACCATCTCCTTCAATGGTTGCTTCACTCAGATGTTTCTCTTCCACCTTATTGGAGGGGTGGATGTATTTTCTCTGTCAGTGATGGCACTGGATCGATATGTGGCCATCTCCAAGCCCCTGCATTATGCGACCATCATGAGTAGAGACCGTTGCATTGGGTTCATAGTGGCTGCCTGGGTGGGGGGCTTTGTCCACTCCATCGTGCAGATTTCCCTGTTGCTCCCACTCCCTTTCTGTGGACCCGATGTTCTTGACACTTTCTACTGTGATGTCCCCCAGGTCCTCAAACTGGCCCATACAGACATTTTCGTACTTGAGCTACTAATGATTTCCAACAATGGACTGCTCACCACACTGTGGTTTTTCCTGCTCCTGGTGTCCTACATGGTCATATTATCATTACTCAAGTCTCAGGCGGGAGAGGGCAGGAGGAAAGCCATCTCCACCTGCACCTCCCACATCACTGTGGTGACCCTGCATTTCGTGCCCTGCATCTATGTCTATGCCCGGCCCTTCACTGCCCTCCCCACAGATAAGGCCATCTCTGTCACCTTCACTATCATCTCCCCTCTGCTCAACCCCTTGATCTACACTCTGAGAAACCATGAGATGAAGTCAGCCATGAGGAGACTGAAGAGAAGACTGTGACCTTCTGATAGGAAATAGACCAGTACTTCCCTCCTTCTCACCACTTTTGAAAATGCTTGCCCAGCAAATACTTTCTACTCACTAATTGATTTCTAATTATTTTTTAGTCTACTAATAAGAAACACATGACTTTCAAACATTCTGATTAGCAGGTCATAATAATGTAAAAAAGATTGGTTCTGTGTCACAGGAGAAAGTACAGAGATAAAATTGTTAGTGGGAGAGGTGTATATTGTTTTTGCAATACAGCCTTGGAAAAACTAAAGGAAATGAAATCAAAATACACTCAGACATTTCCACTACAATCCTGTACCACTGCCAGGAAGGGAGCTGAGACACACATTAGAAATATGATGCAGCTTGGGCATTAGGATTCCGTAAGATCTTTCATGGAGTCATCATATCCTAATTAAAGAAATCACATCCAAGTTCCTCCTCCAATCCTATAATATGAACCAAATAAATATCACTGGTAGGTTTTTTAATCTAAAGCCCACCTACTGGTAGCTGAGAGCAGGTGCTTGGATCAGCACAGCTTGAGTTAGAACATGACCTCACATATTGTGACCTCTGTAACCTTGAACATAGTTCTAACTTGATCTTCCCCTGAATCCCAGGTCTGCTGGCCCCCACTCCAGGACATTCCCTCAGTAGCCTCTGCTTGGCTGTAGCACAGAACTTGGGACCTTGTTTCAATTCCCTGTTCTCTTTCTCCCAATCTCCCCCAGTAGGATTATGCTTTATTTATTGTCATATCCCCAACACCAGGCACAAGTATAATACAATAAACACTACTGAAAATTACTGAATTAAAACATTCAATGAAGGACTATCACCTCTCACTCATTTCTGGTATTCACATCATTGGAAGGTATTGTTAAGAAAATAATTCATTTTTCTCTCTGAAGACATGACTTCCTAAAAAGGACTGAAATCTTGGAAGCCGATTCAGACTGTACATACTTATTCAAAAAGCTGGAATAAAATGGAAAGCATTATGCAATATATCCAGTTGGCTTTTATTTGTTTATTTAATGTGCTATTACAGCTGCTGGGAGTTATTGTTTTGTTTTTTCTTTCACCCATTTCTGAAGGTAGATCCTAGATATCTTAAAATTGTTGAAACTAGCAAAATGTGTATGTCAGTATAAAAATCTCAGTTCACAAATCAGATACGCAAAGGCCCTGAGATGGGAATTTGTACACAAGGTCCAAGAAACAGCAAGGAGGCCCTTGGGACTAAGTGAGAAGAAGCAAGTAAGAGAGAGGAAGTGCCTGTAGTTGAGTTCAGAGAGATGACCTGGCCCCATGACTTTGTGGACTGCTGCAAAGCTTTTAGCTTTCACATTGAGTAAGATGTGACACATCTGGAGGTCTTCGAGGAGCAGAAGAGGGGTAAGGACAAAAACCAGGGAGCAATTCAGAGCCTACTACAATAGCCCCATGAGAGAAAGAATGGAGACATGACTTAGAATGGTAATGGTGGTCATGGTGAGAAGTTTGAAAAAATTTGAAGGTCAAGTTGGCACGATTTGCAGATGAACCCAACATGGGTTTCCTGACTACTACGTATCCCATGATAACTCCATCATCCAGTTTGGTCATCAGGCCATTGAATGATCCCTTCAGATCCAATATCTCCTTTCAGTACTTGTGTGTCACACTTCAGACTCATCCTGCATGCATGGGATTGCAAGAATAGAAACTTATTTCCCAGCAGAAGCCAAAGGTTAACCTCTTTTAGTCCCATTGTAGGAGTCAATATAGCTGTGGAATCTTCTTACGGACTCATGCTTCCCAGAGAGCATCCAGGTAATCAAAGCTGGGAAAATAAATTAATTAAAATTAAATTAACTTTTTATATTCATGAATAAATGCTGTACCTGGAAATAATAATGTAGAAAGTCAGGTTTTTGTTTTGTTTTCTTTGGTTGGTACCATGTATTGCGTTCTTTATTTATATTTTCAAATCACTTAATAAATATTATTTTTTAACAAAGGCAGCAGTATTTCTTGGAGAAATGACTGATTTTAGGACTGGGGCGGGGAATATACAATATAAGCCTGGAGCATCTTTTAGCACCAAAAAACAAGGAAGTGTTTAAAAAGCAAAACAGTGGAAGTATGTCAAAGGGGCACAGGAGTCAACTGAAAGAACTTCCCATAGCCAAAGTTGGAACAACAAAATACATAAAGTAGTCATGGATTATATTCCAAAGTATAAAATAAATATCCAGGAACCCAATCATAAATAAATGATTAAATAAATAAATAAATAAAGGATAATAGACAAGTCTTGCATGCAGAACAATTTCAAATAATGTATGTAGATTCTCTGCCCTCAAGGACACGGAGCATGATTCCAATTCTTTTTCTTTTTTTTTTTTTTAATTGAGACATGGTCTCACTCTGTTGCCCAGGCTGGAGGGCGGTGGTGCGTCTCGGCTTACTGCAGCCTCAACCTCCTAGGCTCAGGCGATCCTCCCACCTCAGCCCCACAAGTACCTGGGACTATATGCAGGTGCCACCATGCCCAGTTAATTGTTGTATTTTTAGTAGAGACAGGGTTTCACCATGTTTCCCAGACAGGTCTCAAACTCCTGGGCTCAAGTAATCTCCTGCCTTAGCCTCCCAAATTGCTGGAACTACAGGCACAAGCCACCACACCCAGCCCCAACTCTCTAAGTGTGAGTTATAAGTGGTTATCTCCTCTCTCCAAAAAAGTACAGTTTTTTTAAATCCTGGAGAAACCTGACAGACTACCTCAGCCAGGTGTTCAAAGTTAACATCATCAGTGACCAATCATGTTAATGGCACGTACAATATGGTTTGACTATGTCCTCGCCCAAATCTCATCTTGAATTGTAGCTCCCATAATTCCCATGTGTTGTGGGAGGGATTTGGTGGGAGATAATTGAATCATAAGGGTGGTTTCCCCCATACTGTTCTCATGGTAGCGAGTAAGTCTCACGAGATCATATGGTTTTATAAAGGGTTTTCCCTCTTTCTCGGTTCTCATTCTCTCTTCCCTGCCACCATGCAAGACATGACTTGCTCCTCCTTGCCTTCCGCCATGATTGTGGTTTCCCCAGCCATGTGGAACTGTGAGTCAATTAAACCTCCTTCCTTTATAAGTACCCAGTCTCTGGTATGTCTTTATCAGCAGTGCAAAAACAGACTAAGACACACCCTTTGATATGATGTGATGAGAGTGGCATTTGGCCTCTGCGTTCTTTCTCCCAGATATCTGCAACCCCTGTCTAACCATGAGAAAATCATCAGGACCAGCCAAATTGAAGAACATTGTATAACAGCAGTCCCCTACCTTTTTGGCATTATGGGCTGGTTTCACAGAGGATAATTTTTCCACAAATGAAGGTGGTGGGGATGGTTTTGGGATGTTTCATGTGCATTACATATATCGTGCACTTTATTACTATTACATGTAATATATAATGAAATAATTATACAACTCACCATAATGTAGAATCACTGGTAGCCCAGGGCTTGTTTTCCTGAAACTAGATGGTCCCACCTGGGGTGATGGGAGACAGTGACAGATCATCAGGTGTTAGAGTCATAAGGAGCATGCAACCTAGATCCCTCGCATGCAGAGTTCATAGTAGTGTTCCCACTCCTGTAAGAATCTAATGTCCCCACTGATCTGACAGGAGGTGGAGCTCAGGCGGTAATGCCAGCAATGAGGAGTGGCTGTAAACATAAAGGATGCTTCTCTCACTTGCTTGCCCCCCACTCAACTCCTGCTGTGTGACCTGGTTTCTAACAGGCCAAGAGCTGGTAACAGTTCATGGCCTGGTGGTTGGGGACCCCTGTTCTATACAATACTTAACAAAGACTCTTCAGTACTGTCAAGGTCATCAAAAACAAGGGAAACAATGGGAGCAATTATGGCCAATATTCCATTTTCAGAAGCTTAAAGCTGTAGATCTTAAAGATGGTCAAACAATGAAGCTAGCTATTGAATAGAATCACATTTCTCACTGTGTGGCCATCTTGGTGTCTCGTTTCATTTGACTTTATTTTTCTTAGTATAGACAGTCAACCATGCTACTCTGTCCTGTGCCTGCTTCAACCTCTTCCCAAACTGGGGATTCCCAGTCAGTGAAGTAGGTGTTGAGATCTGGAGAAGGGATGAGCCTTCCCCAGAACTTGCATGCCCCTGTGCTGTTTGTTACTAAAGGTTCCCTTTCCGGTTCTCTTTGTGTAAGTTGTTAGACTTGGATATAGAATAGGATGGAAGACCAGGCAGTGAGTCCAGTCCCCTCATCAGCTCCAAGTTTCTCTGCACCATGGGCCTCATGGAAGGGTGCCCTCTGATCACCAAGAACAGCACTTTTTGGACTTTCTCAGGAATACAGTTGACATATTTCAACACAACCTTTCTTCCTTTTGGAGCCAGAAGATAAAGGGAATTCACTCTTTCAGTTGCCTCTGGAAAATTTTAGGCTCTAGACAAAATGTGTGTTCCTAAGTATATGTGTCTGAGTGACTTCTTAATTACTCCCACTGAAACGACCTCACTGTCAGCAGAATTTTTCCACAACTACATCCAACTGTAATCCCTCAGATAATTCTCACGCTAGTTCTGGGATTAAGGAACTGGTAAATATCATGGGAACACTGTGAATCAGTGTGAAAGAGCCAAGACAATATTATTCCCTAAGTCCTTTCCACATTAAGATAGAAGAGATGCCATTGAAATAACCGGCCTTCAGAGGGGTGTTGAGCAGAATTTTCTGAAGTTGGATGATTCCTGAGGTTCATGTGAACATTATTTAAGATGTTGGAATTCTTGGAAGAAGGTTGGAGATTTTAGGTAAAAAAATAAACATCTGCATGTGTGCGTGTGCCTGGGGTGTCTGAGTGTTTATGCATAGAGTGAGAAATAAGAATAAGAAAAATTAAAATCTAGGCGTAATCATTAAGATTCACAAATACACTACGACTAAAAATAATGTAATATGTATACAAGATGCTGCATTCTGGGGAGAACCTTCCTTTGTAACAGACAGCACAAGTTAGAAATGCTAACAAAGAGTACGTTGTGGAATGAGAGACAGAGTTGAGGTCAGTTTGGAATTGGGGAAAAGGCAGCTTTTGTTCTCTGCGACCTCTTGAATGATACGGAGAAGACATTTTTCTCAGTCTTGTTTTCTCTAGACAGATCTTCTCAGGCTGACATCAACAGAGGTGATTCTTAGCCTGAACTTCACCCTGCAGTAATAAATGAAATATTTCAAACGCTCACAAAAGTTGAGAGACTCAGACAATAAACACCTGTCTACCCCTCTTTAGATCTAACACAAAAATAAGAAGTTTATGGTGTAGATGACAGGGGAAAACTTCACCTTCATCCTCTGAAAGTTCACTGAAAATCAGCTGACAAAGGGCAGACAATTAGCAGAAAAGGAATACAAATTTATTTGATCATAGTTTACATGACATGGGAGCCTTCCAAATGAAGACCCAAAGATACAAGGAAAAGGTTCATTTTTATGTTTAGGTTCAACAAAGTATGGACAGTCATGTAGAAATACGATTGGACAAAAAAGGTACGGTTGCTTGCTTTGGCAGCACGTATACTAAAATTGGAACAATATAGAGGAGATTAGCATGGCGCCTTTACCAGGATGGCATGCAAATTAGTGAAGCGCTCCATAAAAATAAAAATTTAAAATTAAAAAAAATGGTATGATCTCATGCTAATGGACAATGGGGAAACCCAGCAAGGCCTGTCTGTTTAGATCATATTTGGCCTCTCTGTGCAGCAATTCCTTCCTCCTGGGTATGAGGAAGTGCTCTCTCTCGCTCTCTCTCTCTCTGTCTCTCCCCCCCCCCCCGGAATGGAGTTTGGAGTTCCTATGACCTGCAATCAAACAAAGTAGACCTGAGAATTTATTTATGGCCGACTCTTACACAGAAAGGTGGAGTCATGGGGAAGTTAGAGTAATATGTTTAGGTTTTATGGCTGGCTTTGGAGAAAAAGGGTTCTGGTTTCCATGACCCGCCTTAGGGAAGAGGTATTGGAGTTTCTACAGCTAACCTTGGGGAAGAATGAAGGACCAGCCACCCGACACAGGAAGGCAGGAGGAGGTCAGAGAAAAACTTTTACTTCTGAGGCTACTTCTGAGGCCTTCATTATGGGGTGTTGTTTTCTGAGAGCTTACAATAGCAATGATTTTCTTTTCTCTTTCCATGCTGTCATGTTTGCACCCTTTCTTTCCAGCCAAACTTCCCACTCATTAGCAACTTTCATACATTTAAATAGGCCCCTAAGGCCAGAAGGTCCTTTCTCCCCATTCCTATATGTCCAAAACATAAATGCCACTTCCTCCTTACAGCTTCACTGAGCCTCTTATTTGGAAATCATCCTCTTCTCACACTCAGCTCTTCATCTGTCCTTAGATGGTCCCCATCACTCCCATTAACTATTAGATTTCAGTGCTTCCCACTCACTGCATTTAGATTTTATTCCTTTCTCTCAAATAACCTAGAATTCTTCCCATACTCCATCAATATTTGCTAAATAATTGGATGGATTAAAAGTAGCAGAAGGGTGGAGCAGAAGCTGGGGGATGTTGTCTTTAAATTACCAAAGGCAGTTTGTGAACATGAGACCTATTTCTTTTTGACCAATAGGCCTGGCCTGGGTTCTGGGATATGGTTTACCTTCCACCCACGTGTGTGTAAACAATGTGCTGTTTACATGGGGGTCCCTTTGCAGAGTTTAATAATTAAATTGGTTTTCCTCACATTTCTAGTAACTATACTGAGTTGGTGTTCCTAGCGACCATTTCGTCTCTCTTTATGCTAATCAGGATTGATAGCTACCATTTAGTTCAATGCACTCCATTTACTGATGAGGCTCCACTGTTAGAGTTACCCGGCATAGCACTAATCATGACAGATAACCAGCCTGTATGCTGAGAAGCTTACACATGCTAATTCTCCAACCCTCATAACTTCCCTGTGAGGTGAGTAATATCATTATCCCCATTCCACAGACGAAAAAGTAGAGGCTCAATAAGGTTATGCACTTGCTCAATCGCACAGTGGCAAAGCCAGGACTTGAACCCAGATGAGTCTTGATCCCAGAGCCCTTGTACTGAACAGTTTCTCTGGTCTGCTAATAAGATGTCAGAGAAGAAGCCAAACCAAGCAAGTGCTCTTTTTACTGTCATACACTGTCACCACTCTCTGGGTCACTGGAAGGCAAATATCTCCTAATTCCTTCAAAACAGCAAATGTTCTGATGAAGTGGTTGAGGATACACATTTGGGAAACATGCAGCTCCTCCAAAAGAATGTCCATAAATATATTGGAAATACATTTATTAAAGAAGCCGTGTGTGGGAATTAATTACCTGGAGTTTTCTTTAAGGTAGCACACATATAATTACACTTATTACAGATTAGGCAATGCTCTAAGTACTGATGTTTTACATAGATTAATTTATTTAACCCTCACAAAAGTCTTATGAAGGAGATGCTATTGTCTCCAAATTACTGATACAGAGAATGAGGTCAAGGGATGAAGCAATTTGCTCATGTTAGCACAACCAGTAAGTGCTCAGCTGGGATTTGAACAGGCTGTGTGGTCCCAGAGTCTAGCAGGCATCTACCTCAAAGGTAAAATACTTCTTGGCAGCTTGCTTTTGGATTTACCTATTAAATAGATTTTGGACAAAATTGCATAGAGAGGAAAGAAAACTTGAAGACAAAGTGAGCTAAGTGAGAAGAAATATCTTCATTTAAATTGGAGAACACACCCAAAGAATGGAAGAAAGGGACTTTTGCCCTCCATTTGTTTCTAATTATGGAAAGAAAAAGGAGGTAAACTAGGAAGAAAGAAAATAAGGCCCATTTCAAAGATATACCAAAAAAAAAAAAAAGGAAAGAAGAAAGGAATTCAAAAGCAACACAGTTATAAGGTAAGTGTATGTGTAACAGCTTTTTAAAAAACTGCCAGCCAGGCGCGGTGGCTCACGCCTGTAATCCCAGCACTTTGGGAGGTCAAGGTGGGTGGATGACCTGAGGTCAGGAGTTCAAGACCAGCCTGGCCAACATGGTGAAACCCTGACTTTACTAAAAATACAAAAATTAGCTGGGCATGGTGGTGGGCACCTGTAATCCCAGCTACTGGGGAGGCTGAGGTGGGAGAATCGCTTGAACCCAGGAGGCAGAGGTTGCAGTGAGCCAAGATGGTGCCACTGCACTCCAGCCTGGGCGACAGAGCAAGACTCCATCTCAAAAAAAAAAAAAAAAAAAAAAAAAGAACTGCCAAACTATTTTCAAAAGTGATTGTACCCTTTTACCTTCCCACTGGAGTTCCATTCCTCTACATCTTTGTCCACTCTTGATATAACAATCTTTCTCATTCTAGTGACTCTACTGTATACTATTTTTAAATTACACTGTGGTTTTAATTTATATTTTCTCAGTGATAAACGATGTTGAGCCTTTTCATGTGCTTATTTGCTATCCCTGTGTCTTCTTGCTGAAGTGTCTGTTCAAATAATTTGTCCTTTTTTCTCTTCTGTTTTTTTAACTTCTTTTAGCGACTTCACTTTGTTAAAATAATTTGTCTTTGTTGCTTAATTGGGTTGTTTGTTCTCTTACTATTGAATGTTAAGAGTTACAGCCATTCCACTCCTAGCTAGTTACCCAAGAGAACTGAAAACATAAGTCCACACAAAGACCCAAATGTGAATGTTCATAGCAGCTTTATGGGTAATATTCAAAAGCCACAAATAACCCAAATGTTCACCTACAAGTGAACAGATAAGCAAACTGTGGTATATTCATACAATAGAAAGGAACAAAATAGCAGTACACACAAAATGATGGATGAATTTCATGGTTGAAAGAAGGCAGACAAGAAGAAAATACACATAGAATTTCACTTATAGAATATTGTAGAAAATACAAACTAATATACAATGACACAAAGCAGATCAGTGGTTGTCTGAACAAGGAAGGGTAAATGGGACAGGTTACAAAGGGGCACAAGGACATTTTCTGGGTGATAGGTATATTCACTCTCTTAACTATAGAGATAGTGTCACAGGTATATACTATGTCAAAACTTATCAGCCGAGTGCAGTGGCTCACGCCTGTAATCCCAGCACTTTGGGAGGCCGAGGTGGGCGGATCACAAGGTCAGGAGTTCAAGGCCAGCCGGGCCGATATGGTGAAACCCCGTCTTTACTAAAAATACAAAAATTAGCCAGGTGTGGTGGCATGCGCCTTTAATCCCAGCTACTCGGGAGGCTGAGGTGGGAGAATCACTTGAACCCGGGAGTCAGAGGTTGCAGTGAACCGAGATCACGCCACTGCACTCCAGCCTGGGATACAGAGAAAGACACTGTCTCAAAAAAAAAAAAAAAATATCGAAGTGTGAATTCAAATACATGCAGTCTATGGTATGTCAATGATAGCTCAACAAAAATTATTTTTTAAGAAAGAAATTGAAACAACAGAAGAGAAGCTCTGAGTAATATTTTTATTTCCATAGCTAAGGAGCTATTCACCACCCAGGGGTTTCAGTACCTAAAGTAGATTAAAGTAGAGAAAGAAACAAAGAAGTCCCCTTAAGGAAGAGTAGAGCAATAGAGATGAATTTTATGGCTTAAACATTTTCTAATTTTTCGTGGAAATAAGTTTGTGATTTAAGAAGGCAAGGGTACTACTTCCGTACAATTCAATCCAGTGGGGGGTCATTTTGCAGACAGGGGTTCTTAGAACCATTTAAATGGAGCATCCAGTCTCAGAAAAAAAACAACAAAATCCTCAGCCCTGTGAAACTCAAGGTGTTCTAGTCACACAAAGTAAGCACTGCCTTCCTCACACAACAAACTAATCCCATTTTTATATCTCCCATGCCATAATAGTCTCTTTCTAAATAGTTAACATCCCCCTCTGTTTATCTTGAATAATGTTCTAAGTATCTTGAATAACTGGAACATTATTTTACGCATTTTATACATTTTTTAAAATTGTAATTTACATAAGTGTATGCATGATTGTGTAATAAAATGTCATTTACATGCGTTGGCAATAAACTTGAAATTGTATTTCATGTGGTGGTAATATCTCACAAGTTTTCAAACTGAACACTTGAATCTGTTAAGAGAGAGTAAACACTTTCTGAAATGACATTATTTTTTCCAAGATATTCAGGAAAGAGAAAACATGATTCAATGGAGTTGGGAAATGTCACCATAGTAAAAGAATTTATATTTCTGGGACTTACTCAATCCCAAGACCTGAGCTTGGTCTTGTTTCTTTTTTTATGTCTTGTGTACATGACGACTCTGCTGGGAAACCTCCTCATCATGGTCACTGTGACTTGTGAGTCTCGCCTTCACACCCCCATGTACTTCCTGCTCTGCAATCTAGCCATCCTTGACATCTGCTTCTCCTCCATAACTGCTCCTAAAGTCTTGCTGGACCTTCTGTCAAAGAAAAAGACCATATCCTATACAAGCTGCATGACACAGATATTTCTCTTCCACCTCCTTGGTGGGGCAGACATTTTTTCTCTCTCTGTGATGGCATTTGACCGCTACATGGCCATCTCCAAGCCCCTGCACTATGTGACCATCATGAGTAGGGGTCGATGCACTGCCCTCATCTCTGCCTCCTGGGTTGGGGGCTTTGTCCACTC